AGGCCTGGACTCTGGAGTGCTGCCAGTCACTGGCAAGCGACCTGCTGCTTTACCACAGTGGACAGTTTCTAAGTGCACCATGACAAAGGCCAGGTGGTCCTGAAGTCGAGAACAAGAAGCCTCAAAACAGGAGCTCATCTGCTGGGGGGAACAGACAGGCTGTGAACAGACAGGTGTGAATAGGTCATCACAACACTGCATGTTGCAGGAGTGTCGGGAAGGAGCCCAGTAAAGATCAGAGAGAAGCAGGGTGAGACTGAGTGGGGAGGTGTGGTGCTGACAGCATCATTACTGTTGCTATTACTCTGGGGAAGTTTTTGGTAGAAGACACTATAGACTGGCACATAAGTGCTTGGAAACCACAATTTCCTAGGGAGACAGAAAGCCTGGCTCCTCTTCTTGGCTTGCAGCTAACCTGTGGTGTGACTTGGACAAGCTGCACTCAGGATCTCATCCATATTATGGAAGTGGGTGGATTGGACTAGCGATTCTGAACACTATAGTGGGTCACATACCCCTCTGAGAAGCTGGAAACTGTCTCTCAGACAAAAAGCAAAAATACACAGAAATTTATCTACAGTGTCAAAGGGCTCCTTTTACCCCCTCCTCTACCCTCAAATCCTAGGCTAAGAATCTCCAGCTTCCATGACCTCAGATATCCTTTCTGGGATTATGACTCTGACACCTGTGCCTGAGAGACATGCCTGCAGGGTAGGCATCCTTAGGAAGCCTTCTAGATGGGGGTTGGGACATCTTGTCTTGGGTTCAACTGCCCAAGAAGGCCAGTCAGACTTGACACCAGCTGGCACCAGGAATGGAGAGACAGGAAGATGATGTGAAAAAGAGAAGCAAGGTTGGGCTAAGGGACATCAAGGTACAAACACCATGATCAGTGCCAGCCAGCACTCAGCGCAGGGGATTTGGTCAGTGAAATGCGTGGTGGGGGGATGCTGTGCGAGAGTGAGGGGACCCTGCCCAGTTTGCAAAGGGTAGTCAGTTGCCTTTCAGCTCCAGCCATCTGCTGCCATGGGAGATGGGGGGGCCCAGAGCAGCCAGTGCTTTTTGTTTTTTATGAGAAGTTTTAGATCTGGCTTTGGAAGCCTCTTCATTTTCAAATAACAACCAAATTTCTGAAAACACTGTGGGCCACTGTCTGTGATTTCTTGCCTATGTGATCCACATGTCTAGGCTACAGATGGAGACGCTGAGGCTAAGGGGAGAGGAGACCGAGTTCTTATATTCTCTACGAACCATGTTTCAGCCTCTAAGATAATGAGTGACAACGTTGTATTAGTGCTGTGCACAACCACAAGTGTCATTAGAAGGGCAGTAACCCTCCCAAGGTCACAAGAGAGAAGGTGGCAGAGCAGGGCCCTGGGCAGTGGGACCATAAGTCTCAGCTGCTCTTCCCCACACATGGCCCTAAGGGGAGGGGTCTGCAGAAGTGGCAGTCACTTCTCAGAGAGCCCCAAGGCCCTGGCTGTGCCCACTCTGGGAAACGGCTCCACCTGGATGGACACTAGTTCTTTAATCCGATTAGATCCGGCACCTCAGAGAGCCTTGGTAATCCAGGGCTGGCTGGAGCATTGCCTGGAAACTTGTTAAGCAGTGGCCTTGGGTTGGGAGGAGCTCTGCTTAGAAACATGGGGGTCCCCAGCCCTGCTGCCTTCTGTGTCCACGCGGGTGACTGTGGCTCCTTGGTCTGTGCCTTCTTTGTGCTTTGCCCCAGAAGCCCAGAGCGGGGATGGGGTGGGTGGGTGGGGGTGCTGTGCCCTTAAATCCTGTGTATGCATTTCTCTGCACACAGCTGCCACTGCCCCACCCGCCCACAAAGCCACCAGACCACACTTCTGAATTATCTGGGGCAACTTAAACTCCCCCGTCACCCTGTAAAGATTCTTGCCTCTGGCCACCACAGACTAAGTTAATTCCACAGGTTGGGGAAGCAATTCCTCTTTTGATTGCAGAGGAAATGAGAAAGGCTGGCCAAGAGCAATGTTGAGATGGTTGTTACCATGTCGTGTGGTGACGCAGCATCCTTCCTGAGATCGGTTTGAGGGGCCTCAGTATTTTATATGGGGTGTTGTGAAGTGGTGCTTAGACCCAGGTTCCAGTCCAATTTCAGTCTATGTAATCTTGTTTAAATACCACCTATCCTATTGACTTCTGTAGAAGCACATGGTGGGCGGGGGGGTGGGGTGGGGGGACGGGGATCCTAGGAGAGGTGCAATTTGGGGTGAATTTGAAAGTTAGAATAGGCCCTTAGCATTCAGTACACGGGCTGTGGGGGAAGGCCTACCACTTATCAGCTGTGTGGCCTTGGATGAGTGACTTACTCTCTCTGAGCCTCAAGGGGTTTCTCATCTATAAAAGGAGACTGATTATATTAACCCACTTTGATTGTTTCTCAAGATTGTAAATGATAATGCAGCTCAGAAGCAATAGCTTTTGTAATGATTTCCTAAGGCCACTTGACCTCTATAACTCTGTGAAGACTTTCTAGAATACTGACTCCAAGTAGAGCATCACCTGGAGCTCTTCTCTTGCTTTGTCTTTGGTGGATTTTCTGTTCAGAGTCCGAAGCCGAGTGAGAGAGAAACCAGTCAGGAGACTGGTTACCTAGTCTCTGCAGATACAGGGAAGAAAGAGTGTAGACCCAAGGGAGAAGGTAGGGGAGGAAGGGAGCAGGGAGGGTTCCAACCTTGCAACAGTTAAATTTTAATATAGGTGTCGGCATAGGAAGTGTCTTCTAATGACAGAAGGAAACGAGGGAGTTTTTCAATCATCTCCTGCTTAACAGATACAGATGTGTTCATAATTATCCCTTGCCTCGGGCCTTGAGGCCCAGGTGGGCTCCAGAAGGCCTGTGTTCCTGCCAGACAGCAGTTCTTAAGGAACGTAGTGGAGACAACTGGAATGCCGTTCATCGTGCAGAACACAATAAAACCCTGAGCTCTCTTCCTGTCTCAGAGACCCGTAAATTATGAAAATTATACCTGCCCCAGGCCATGGACATATTGTTTTATTAAAGTTCCGATGAATAAACTTGGGGCTCTGAAAAACATCCTCTCGGCTTTCATCTGGCACACACCTCCAGCACGGAGCTGTCTGCTGGGGAGCGTTCACTAAGTTCACAACCCAAGTTGGCCAAGTTGAGCCCATTTCAAGGTGCAGGTTCAGCAGGCAGCAGGGGCCAGCTGGGGAGCTACGGGAGGGGCTCAGAGCCTCGTGGCCTGACGACAAGAGTTGTCCAAGGGGTTCTTGTTTTCTGCCATCAGCGTGGGGACTCCCCCTTGTCCTCACCATTTTCTTTTTTGGATGAGCTGAGGCTTGTGGTGCTGTCATATGAGGCGTGTGGTTATGGATGTGGAGAGTTGAAATCCTTCTCTATTTTTAAATTTAGTTGCTGGGGAGTCTTTTTAGTCCATCTGGAGCTTCTGCCCCAAGTTGAGTTGCTAAACCTTCAGCTCTCCATTTTCCCATCTACCCTTCAACCGTTGACAGGCCTGTAACTCCTTCTCTGACTCTCAATTTCTGCATCTCAAAGACGTAACTAACAATGGTATCGGTCAAGTATGTTCAAGACTTGGCAAAAAGTCTTGGCATTCACTATATTCTAAGCGTTATTGTTACCCCAAGTCATTTCATAATTGGGAGCCACGAGGAGCAGGGCCAGTCTAGGAAAGACAACGAAGGCACAGGCAGGACTTTTTCTCTGGCCACCGATTTTTAAGAAACAAGCTCACATTTGTTTAGCTTGTTTCCTCAAGAGGTTTTGGGTGTGTGAGACAAACCCAACATCCTGTATAGGTTTCTGTTATTTTTAATCTCTAAACTGTAGGAAAAAAAACCAGGGGCAGGCCTGCCCCACGTCTCCACCTATCAAGACATCAAGACACCCAAGACTTAATGCCTGGGTGTCAGTAACTGGGATTGAGCCAAGGAAAACCACCTCCAAGTGTCATCAGTGAAGGAAGAGGCCATCATCCAGAAGTGGGAGAGACCACAAGTTCTGGCTGAGGGGGAGGCTGGCATTGTCTTTATTCCGGAGCAATTCCAGAGCTGAGAAAACGAGGAGGATGGACATCCTTAATGCCTTTTTGGGCAGTTACCAGGGGATCCTTGGGATGGGTTTGGATGTCTCGAAGAGGAGCCTGAGGTTTTCAAAGACTGGAAATATGCCATCCCTGGTGACCCCAGAGACCACCCAGAGCTGGATTCAGGGCTCCAGACTGCACCTCTCTGTCTAGCTTCTTCTGTCCACCATTGTTGGACCCCTTAGGGCTAACAGAAAAATATCTTTAAAACAGGAGGCATGTGTTCAGTTTCAAAATAATAGTCAAAGTCTCCTTGTGATTGGCATATGCAATGAAAGTAATTAAAGTCTCTCTTCCCCACCTCCCCCCCGCCCCCCACCAGCTACATCCTCTGATTTAAGTGTCTGCGTGGTATGGGAGAGATGGATAGATGGAAGGTGTACTAGAGAAAGGCAGAGGCACGTCATTTAATAGATGGAAGCCCAAGGGAACCGGTTTGTTACAGTATTCACCAGTTCAGAGAAAGTAAGGAAACTGCCAAGTGTTTTTTTGTTTGCCTTCTGTAAGCCTGTGTGTGGGTATGTATGTGAAAATCTGCTTGGGGAACACCAAGGTGAAAAGAAAAGAGCTGCAGAATTTGTATAAATTGGACTGGTAGATGGACCTCCCCCATTATCCATCTGTTACCAATACACTCTTGTGTAGGGGAGGGCTTGCCAGAGGATTTAGCAGCACCTGGCATGATTCAGCTTCATCAGAAAGTGAAGCTTTCCTCCAGGGGCTCTAAGGTCATCCTCGAGGCAGGACCAGGGCCAGGAAGCCCTGTCCCCCTGCCACACTCTCCGCCAGAGCCTGGTCACTCGTTTCGATTTGGCAGGTATCCTTTGACAAACTTTGACACCTTGCTGGGTGAGGATGTTGGGGGTGTGAACACACAAACACACGAGAAACGCCAGTCCTATGTATATTTAACAATATATATTTATATATATTTTCTAGATCAGTACATTCAGTTTTTAACTTGCTTTTTCTTCACAAACAGAAGAACTCTTACAATAGTAGACTTTCTAAAATAAATACTATTAAAATAGAGCTTCAAAATAAATATTCTATACAAAGGAAACCTTCTGTGGTAACTTTTGATGTGGGGTGAGAAAGGGTTACAGTGAAGAGGGAAAATGTGCTGGGATGGGACCCTTGAATAGCTTTTCTGTTTCTAACACAAAACTGAACTGTGGGGCAGTGAGAAGAAAAAGCAAGACAAGACACCACACCGAGTTACCCACAGCAAAAATGGCAGCTTAAGATTTGTCATCGACTGTCACAGTAAGCAGAGGGCATGAAAATGCTTACCAACGGCATAAACCAGAAGGCCAGTGAAGTTCATAGGATGCCCTAGTGACGTGTACAGTGCAAAGTGGTGGTACCTACACCCCTCCGGACACCTCCTGGGGCAGCACAGAGACCATGAAGGTGACGGGATCTGGTCCCAACCCACAGTTTCCACACTTGGGACATGTCATAATCTAACTGGGCCTCACTCGATGTCAAGTGGGGATGTATGCAGACTCCAGAGCGCTGAAAGAACCAGACACATCACATGATAATCTTCCATCTGTCAGTTGTGAAGGGGCCCGTATCAACAGCAGGGCCAGTGAGGAGCCTTGGTGTACCCCATCTTCTACCTAGAAAGGCTTGGCTCTCCTAGACCCAGTTCTCAGGGCACTCGCTGGAGTGTTGGGGCTTTACAAATCCACCCTCCAGAGGAAGCAGCTGTGGCCCCTTAGGACAAGGGTCCTGGGCCCAGGCTTGTGGATCCCACCCCCAGTTCCAGGCAGAACCACTAGCCATCCCAGATTGAACCTTAGTGGGAAGCAGCTGGCACTCTGCTAAAAAGGTCAAGATGAGGAGGCATAATACAGCCAAGCGAGCCATTGGTCACAGGACACACAATCAGCCAAAAGTGGCCCCAGAAATGTGTTGTGTTCCCAAGAGCTTGATCCCTCAGTGGCCCCTGACTGGCCCCTGGGGGCCACAGACAAGCCAGTTTTGCTTTTTCTTTTTGCCAGAAAAACATGCTGAGGGACTGCTATGCAACAGAGCTGGGCAAACGAAAGCTGAGCGCATGGGACACAGAATTCTGCAGACATCCACCTAGCAGGCTAGATGCAAACCAGAAAGAACAAGCCAAAGCGGGGGAAGGAGCAAAAGAAAACCAAACCCAGAAAAATCCGTGTTTACAACTATATACACAGAGTCGGGGTTCAGGAGGCTACTTGCCAGCAAACAAGGGTCTTTGTAGAGATGGTGGGTAGGGGTAGGGTGTGTGTGTGCACAGCTTATGTAAATCAGTTCTCCACAGAATGGGCACGTAGAACACCAAAGATCACCAAAGTGCAACTTGCCACTGGGTCAAGCTTCCCATGGAGACATTTGAGGGGGGGGCTTTGGGGAAAGTTCTGAGGCCTCTCCCAGAGTGGACGTATGCCCTCTCTTTTTGGGGGTAACCTCTCCACACCTGTTCTGAGGAAAACCATCTCCAGTCCCTTCAGTACACATCTGATACATTCAATTAGGACAAGTGGTTGGCTGAATGTGTTTTTTCTATCATTCCCTCTGATTTGTGCAAGAACATCCATACATCCATGACAACTGTGACAAGGGTAGCTACAGGAATCAGCCTTAGAAAATGCAGATGCAGTATTTCATATTCGCCTTTTACAAGCTAGCAAATGTTATATAAATAAAGCCTAAAATAATAAGACCATCCCCTCCTTTCCTCCAGTCAATAAATACCTACAGTTACAATTAACTTATTCTAAATCATAAGATGTTACTACCAGTCTTCAAGAAGGAACGAAAAAAAAAGTCCTTGAGAAGCATTGGGTGCTTGACCATCACAGCTACCTGCCTCCTTCCAGGAGGCTGTTCTGTTCCTACAGAACAAACTGAAGTGCTACAAAGGCTGTGCCTAGTACACTTCCAACATTGCCCCGGGGTAGCTCTTCTGACCCAAGCTACTTTCTCTCACGGCGGGGAGGGGGAAAGGGAGGAGGCACAAATACCACATGAAGCAAAAACCCCACACAATTGCTGGGGAGTAAGGACCAGACACACTATAGCTTTTGCATGCAACAAGTACCTACCCACTGGACGAGCTGCGCTTTCTGAGTCCTTTAGCACCTTGAGAGAGAGTTGCTACGTCTTTGGGGGCTGCTGGGAGGGGCTCATGTGGCCACGCACAGAAGCAGGGCTCAATCCCAAGAAGCCCCCCGGAAAATCTTTCCCCCACCTGCATTCTTCTGACTCCCCCAACCAGGGCCTCTGAACACTAAAATAGACTCTTTTGTCACCATCTGTCTATTTACATTAAAGATACAGACACTGTACACAAAAGGCTAGGACAGCAAGCAGCAGAATCAGGAGAGAAGAAGCCCACACCCAGCCGTCACTCTGCCAGCGCGAGGTGCTGCCTCTCTTCTCTGCTGTTAAAATCTTCTTCTTGGTGGGGGGGGGGGATTGTGTTCCTTGAGGTTGCTCGCCCCCCAGATTTTGAAATCAGCCCTTCCTGGGGGTGGCCCAAAAGGAAGCAAGTGTTTTATTATTATTTTTTAAAACACCATTAGTATCTGATATAAAAACATGTAACGACTGGATCCAGAGACCACAGCCTCAGACTCATTGGCAAAATGCTATTTGGTCTCAAATTTGCTGCCCCGGTCTTCTCTACCCATAGTGAAGTTTCTGGAAAGGATCTGAGTAGAGAGAGCTGGGGGCACACAGCAGGCAGGTGAGTCTGTGACTCAGTAAGAGCCAAAGGACGGTATTATGAGTGGAACACCCCCGAGAGTTAGTGAGGAAGCTGGAAGGGAGAAAGGTACTGTGCAGTGGTTCCTAAATCCGTCCATGGCTCCAGGCAGAGCAAGGAACGAGGGGCGGGAGCTCCCGAGTATATACAACAGGGATTGCCAGGGTCTACACCTTCCCCAAGATGGGGCAGACTGGGGTGGAGGCTGGGAGGAGAAGAAGGTACAGATGGTAAGACTCCAAGCGTCTTCTTCCAAGTCCCCTGGCCACTCAGATTCCTCCCAGGCAGCCAGAGAGAATGCAAAAGAGCAGGGAGAAAGCGAGGGAGGAGGAGGGCCAGGAAGGCATTCAAGCAGCTGCAACTTCCGGATATGTGTCCACATCTGTGTTCCATCTTCTGTAAAAGAAAAATCGCCCCCAAACCACACCACACCCCTGCCACTGTCTGTTTCACACAAAGTTCCAGGATCCTGAACAAAACAACCCCAAAGTGCTTCTTCATCCTTTTGGGGAAGAGAGGGGTGGGTGATGGTGGTCCCTGTTTCTTCAGCAGCTGGGGGGTAGGGGGTGGGCAGACTAGCAGAGTCAGCCTCAGGATGCTAAAACCTCTGGCTGTGCTGTGGTGCTCTTCTCAGGTGTCAGAAGGGAACCAGGGTTCCAGGCGGAGTGCTGGGACTTGACCCCGAGCGTCAGAAAGGCTTGTCGGGTCTGCTGGCCTTGGCGTCCCCGGCGGCCGCCTTGCAGATGACGCTGTTCGTGTGCTTGCAGCGGCACCCAGGGCGGCGCAGGTGGTCATAGCCGCGCTGGGCCAGCTTCACACAGCCAGTGGCGGGCAGGTAGCAGAGCAGACAGGGCAGCACCAGGGACAGGGCCCCCATGAAGGACCAACGGGCACAGCAGTTTGAGCGGGAGCAGGAGCAGGGGTGGTCGGCGCAGGAGCCCTCATCGTCCTCGTTGGTGCAGTGATAGAAGATGCCCTGCACCAGGCACATGCAGGTGCCATAGTTGACCAGCGTCTGCGCCGAGCACAGGCACTCCTGGTTGCAGACCCAGCAGGAGGGCAACGTCCGGGGGGACGCGCACTCCTTGCACTTACACTTCCCGCAGGCCTCGCACAGCAAGAAGTGCTTGTCCAGCTCTGGGGGCCCAGCGGGGCCCTTGAGGTCCAGCGGCTTGCAGTGGATGGCCTTGGGCTGGATGCGCACAGCCCTCGGGGAGGCCTGATCAGCCACTGGTGGGGGCGCCATGTGGTCTAAGAGGCGCTGGTCGGAGGACGTGCTGCTGCTGCTGCTCACAGAGCTTGGGCGCCCGCTGAAGGAGATCCAGTGGTGGGTGATGTCCTGGTCACAGCGGGCCGGGGCTGGGGCCAGTTCTGGGGCTCCACCCCGGGTCCGCTTGGGGCCAGAGGGGGGTGCCAGGCCAGGGTTGTCGATGTAGTCGTTCTCCACGTGGCTGGTCTTCATCTGGTCGATGGGAAGGATGGTGAGAGGGTGCTGGAGCCGGCTGTGGGCCGTACGGCTGTCCAGTAGGGGCTGGACCATGACTGAGCTGGGAGTCAAGGGGACGCTCTGTGGGATCGGGGGCTCCATGGGGCCGGAGGTCCTGGGATGTGCAGAGTAACAGGCTTCTAGGGGCCCTGGGTAGGGGGGGGAGGAAGAGAATGGATTCCAGGCATCAATAGGTGGCCTGTTAACACCCCCATCCACCATTAGGTCCTTGGGAGCCCAAATGAAATAGGATCCCTTTGGTGGACTACCCAGCATTAAGGCTTAATGATTAGTATTAACAGCAATGACAATTTTAAGTGGTAGAAATAATTTATTTAGCACTTACAAGGACTCTTCTAAGCATCATACTATTATTAACTTTTCACAATGACCCTAGAATGTAACTACCATTACCCCTTTTCTAGTTGTAAGAAACTAATGTTCAAAGTAACTTGTCCAAAGTCACACAAAACCATCAGTAGCAGAACTAGGGCTCAAACTTGGGCCATCCAGGTTCATCTTATAATCCCCATGAAACATGCTTCTGATTTAAGACAGACAGAGCTTAGCAGTTAAAAATGCAGATTCTGTAATTATATCAAGTTCAAGTTCTCACCTTTGCCTAGCAGTGTTGCTGTGAATGAGGTTCTTTAACTTCTATGCCTTAGCACTGTCACCTGTAAAATGGGTTCTTGTGAGAACTAATTGAAAAAATGCATATCCAGAACCTAGCATTTTGCCTGACACACAGCACGTACTCTTAATTTACCAGCATCCCAGAAAGCAACCGTTTAGATTTCCTGAGCACTAATAAGCACGGCTAATAAGTACCAAGTGTTATGCTGAGTGCCAGGATGTAGTGAATACAACAGTCAGTCCCTGTGTGCTCCCATGGAGTTTTTATCACCTAGATAAACAAAAGCGTTTATTTCAGATAGTCACAAGAGAAGGAGATGTATCTGATGCCTACACATCCAGGATATTAACTCATTACCACTACTTCTAAGAGCAACAACCTCCAGTGGATAATAACCCCTGGGCAGGTGTCCTCGGACAACTTGGATGGGAAATCCTCTCTGAGGGGCACTCACTTCACCCATTTCCAAATACTGAGCTGAACATTCAGCCTAAATGCTGTTTACTAGAATAGCTAAGCCAAGCCTGGATCAGTTTCTAATTTCACTGAGAGAGTGCAATTTTAAGTTGGAAACTGGCCAGAGATTCAACTGCAGTGCCTGACACGGAACCCCAGGAAGTCACTTAAATCAAAGAGCGGAAACGGCTTGGTTCAAATTTAGAAAGTGCACATTGTTTTCTATTAGAAGTGCCATTTCCTCGCCTGCTGACCTTTACATTCGGAATTCGGCTGGAGATCAATTTAAAGAAATAGCAGCAGAGGCCAAGACCTCTGCCCAATTTGGAATCCCAGAGAAAGATTAGACTCTGGGAAGATTCCACTGGGCTTGTGGCTGGGGGATAGAACAGACAGCCAGGGTGAAGATAGAAGGAGATCATAACCACCTTTGAAAAAAAAAAAAACAAAAAAACCCCACATTGGATTAATGTGCTATGGGGTAGGGTTTCAGTAAATGCTTTTTCAAGATGCTAATAATGTTCTAATTTGGGGAGCTGACACTGTACCTCTGCTATTAGGTTCATCTTGCCTCAAAGGTGATACCTAAGGACTTCCCTGGCAGTCTAGTGGTTAAGACTCCCAAGTTTCCACTGCCGGGGGTGGGGATTCGATCCCTGGTTGGGGAAATAAGATCCCACATGCAGTGACAAAAAATGAGAAAAATCCTTAAACAGAATAAAAATGAAAATACAACACATCAACTTAAGAAACAATTAAACTTAAAAAAAAAAAAAAGTGATACCTAAGAAGAGGATGTGGATAGGTTTCTACTTCCAGTTCTAACCTCACATCCCTCCAGACTTGGGCCACAGCTAGTCATCCTAGTATTCCAATTACAGGAGAAGGATACCTGGCTCTGAGTGACACATCCATACTTATCAACGTCTATAATAAAGAGAAGAGAGAGAGAGAGAAAAGCCATTCAGGACAACACTGCATTCTACTTCCTCTGCTTGGAAACAATGGTTTGATTAGAAATGGTTCAGTTGTTGGGGAAGGACTTCCTTAGATGCTTTCCAGCCTGACTGAAATAAAGAGCTCAGTCTAGGTGCAAAGTTCATGAAGTGAATGAAAGGGAGCTTATCCCTTTCTCATCTGTGCATTGCAAAATGCAGAAAAAAGCACTAAGTCTTTTCTACAAGGTTCACTGCTCAGTCAACTGATATTTCCCCTTCACAAAGGCTATGAACCCACAAAGGCTGTGGGCTTTGGTCCCACAGCCCTATCTACTTAAGAGATGCTGGTGTTTCCGTGCAGAGTTTTTCCCATTTCGGAGAATGTGTGCCTAGGGATAGCCTCTCTCCTGCCTCGTATTCCCTCCACATGTCAGGAAAGCATCATCTTCAAAGAGGAGACTTTCCTATGGCAGAGTTTGACTTCAGTGTCAGGCAGGTCTTCCACCAAGAAGCCATTCTTTGCTGATACAGCCTCGTTTAGGGGTCCTGGGTTTGGGGCTGGATGGGAGATGTCAGTTGAGCATTTTGGGAGAGGATTTTTTTCTTGGCTCAAGCCAGTCATGGGGCAGAACTTCAGAAATGCTAAAGTGGGCTCACTTTGTTCTTTGCAGGGATTCCAAAGCCTTCCTTCTAGAATAAATGGGTTTGGGGTCAAAAGAAGAGGGTTAGGAGCCCTGGGTTTCAGCTCTTTGCCTGGAGAAAAAGGTGTGACTAGGCAAAAGAATGGAAAATGCTGACAGAGGCTCAGGAGACGACTCTCTGGCGCCAGCCAAGAGGTGCCTCCGCCAGAACCCCCACCCTGGACAAAGACAACATGATTCCCTCATGCCAGAAGCTCAGGTCCCAAAGCTCAGGGTCCTGCCAACAAAACGCCAGTGGCAGTTTGAAGGCCGTGCTGCCCATGTAGCTGTGCTTTCCTCTCCGAGGACTGGGGCTGGGACTTGCCATGCCGTGGGTACTCCCTCCCCTAAACCGATTACCCACTCTCCTTCCTCTGATTCTATTCCTGAGAGTCTTTAAACAACAAGCACACTTTCTATGCATGAATCAAAAGGCATGGGCAGTGCTCAGGGATTTTAATAGGCCCTGGAATCACTAGGCAGATTCATGGAAAAGTCCCACCAGGAAGCCAGGGTGGGAACAGTGACTGCTGGCAACGGGATATTGGCATTACCCCACTCCCATCACCCTCCAGAGGCAGCTGTCAACATCTGGGTCTGCACTTAGGGTCAGACAAGGGGGTGGGAGCTGGGTCCCTGATAACTCAGCTCTCTTGGGGCAAGTCACGCCCTGGATGGCTCCAGCCGGCATATTCTAAAATGCATCTTCCCCATCATAACACTCATGCAGGATTCCTTCTGGCTATAGCCAGCAGCTGGCTCAGACCTATAGGTCTCCAATCTTCTCAGGCCTCATCTCCTAGTTAGCTGGGACCGTCCGTGGACGGTTGAATTCATTTGACTCACAAGAAAAAAAATACTTGTCGATAGCCTGAGGGATAACACTTCAGCATAGCTAAAGTGAAGTTTCAAACCCCACCTCCCCATTCCTCGGTTTCAAATCGATCTCTACTCACTGGGACACACCTACTATCCCGTCTACCCAACACTGCTGAACTTAAGTGCAGTTTAATATGTACTCTGTTTCCCCTGCAAGGAAGGAAGAGATTTGTAATATAAATAGGAGAGAGGAGGCTTTTGCTTCCTTTAGGTCGTTTGGGAGACTGATGGCCCATTTGGAAGACTGTGGACAGAGAAGCAAAGCCAGCACTCCACTTAGCCAGAGAAGTACCTCTGTGGAGTTGTAGGTGACAGCCTTATGGATTAGCACAAGGAAAGGAAACTTTTACCTCCACTCCAACTTTCTAATAATAATTAATAGTTAGGAAAGCATCTAGTATTTATGACACGTTTCTTGGTGCCAGGATCTGTGCTAAATCCTCAGTGATGTTCTCCCCAAATCCTCACCATCACTTTGGACAACAACACCTACTTTGCAGAGGAAGAAACAGAAGAACAGAGGGTCATAGAGCAGCCAAGTGGTCAGGGCAGGACTTGAACCCAGTCATCCCCGCTGCCCAGACTTGCAATAACTTCTGGATATTCAGGGAAGGGCGTGAGAGCACCCTTTCTCTCTTGTAGCTAAGAGCTCTGCCAGTCTCCCGGGTCTGCCATCAGCCCTTGGGGAATCTCATCTGGCCATCTTCAGGCTGTTAACCCAACCAGCCTGGAAATGAAGCCAGACAGGGCTGGTATCAGACTGGCCTCCAGTTAGGGAAATTTTCAGTGTGAAGAATGGAGGCCAAGGGTTTGAAACCTGTCACTAAAGGAAGCGTCAGTGCTTAAGATATCTTTGCTTCCAACTCCATTTTCTTTGCTGTCCCTTTTGTCCTCCGCACACCCCCATTTTTACTAAGTGTTTTCATTTTTAGTTTTCTTAAGGTTGAATGGGTCTCACTAGTAGGATCTCACCACAAAGCAGCCCCTAAAAGGGAAGCCTAGAGTGGGCGGGAATCCCCTCTTCTCCCACCTGTAAAGCTGAACTTCAGGGTCCCCAGGGCACATTCATGGATGTGGCTTCCTGGTCCAGGTCTGTGGGGAAAAGGAGGAGCTAGGGTAAGAGGAAGGCAGAAGAAAGAACACCCCATCAGTGGATATTAAAAAGCCTAGAGCACAACACCCTGTATTTGTAGTCTGTGATACCTGCGGGGAGGGGCTGGGCAACAAGCTGACGCACTCAGTGCGGGCTGGCTGTAAAGAGTCGAGACCCGTGTTAAAAGCCAGCTCCAGCCATCCACCACTTCCGCTGGACTTAATCCGGAGAGAGGAGTTGGGAAACATTAGGAAAATCTGACAGCTCTACTTTGAAAACTACAGGTCAGCTAATGCCAAACTGACAAGAAGTTCTGAATGAAGGGGGCACTTTTTGCACTGCCTCATTCAGTCCTAGCAGGTGCTTTCAGGGAAGGTTGTTTAACCCCTTAACAGCTCAGAGAAAAAGGTCACTAAGCGATGAATGAAACACGGGTTCTATCCCTGGGTCAGGAAGATCCTCTGGCGAAGGGAATGGCAACCTACTCCAGTATTCTTGCCTGGGAAATCCCATGGACAGGGGAGCCTGGCAGGATGCAGACAGTACATGGCATTGCAAAGATTGGACGTTACTGAGCAACTAAACAACAGGCTGCATGAGAGCCCACTGCTACATCTGCCCCTATCCCTTGGCTTCTTTGGGACAACATCTCAGTTCATTAAGCTCCAATTATTGCTTCAGAAAGACTTTAAAGGGGAGGAAGGGGGGAACTTCCCTGGCAATCCAGTGGTTAAGATTCCATGTCCTCAATGCAGGTTGCAAGAGTTCAATCCCTGGTCAGGGAACTACAGTTCACCAAAGATCCTTAAGATCCCGCATGACACATTAAAAAAAAAACAAAGGGGCTGGCTGAGGGAAGCCAGAGATTGTCTTCCCTGTGCCCTACACAGAGGGAGATCACCTTGGCTGAGAATAAAGCATTTAGACATGGATTTGTCTGAGAATCCTTGCCCCCCACCCCACTCCAGCACCACACTAGGAGCTGATCTCTGGCCATAACCTGTCAGAGACAACAAAAGAAAACAGATGCTTATCCTCACTTTGTCTCATCCTCAGTTATCAGTTCCCAAACTTCTTTTTCCACAACCAGTCAGCTGTGCTCCACAGCCCCTGTGCAAGGCTGAGTTGGAGAGGTTTTGTTGTACTTTTTTGGTTCTGGACTATTCTAACCAGCTACACATTTTGGCTTTGACGTGTTCCCCTCATAACTGTTGTCTGCTCAGATCCCCTTAAAGAGGGCTTAGAAGTCAAGAGTGAGAAAAAAAAGGGAGCTAGAAGAAGCCTGTTAAATACTGGTACAGTTTGGGAACCCCTGGTCTGCATCAGAATTTGGGGGTAGGGGACCAGGAACCTAAACCCCAGGGGAAGGACCCCTCCCCCATTTTATTTTATTGGTCTCACCACCCTCCACTAAGAACTGGAGTTACAATAATAGGTTTTAGCTTACTCCTGGGATGGGGCAGGAAATGACTCCCCCTCCCCCCAGCCAGAAAAAGACAAGGGAAACCACTTTTCTGCAAGTGGCCACCTGCCCCAGAAGGGCCCCTTCCCTCCTCCATGATATCCAGCACATCTGTGTTCCCTCCCTGGTGCCCTTGCTTCCTCCACCGACTGTCCTTGGAAAGAACAATCATGATCACAGCTGAACGGTGGAGCCTCTTAAACTCAGCCACATGTCCCGGATACATCCCCAGCCTTGTCAGCTGTCTGGATCTGCAGGGTGGCCCCAGGCCCCCTTGAGAGCTCCACATCCTCCACCCTGTACATCAAGAAGTACCCCATGTCTCCTGTGGAAGAAGGGGCTTCCTAACAGGCACCCCTAGTAACAAGGGCACAGCCTCAGCCCTGCACACTTGGCTAGCTGCTCAGCTGGCCCTGGCCCCTGGGTGGGGGTGGGGGTTTTTCTCCCCACTCTGCAGATGGGGAGACTAAGTCCCAAGTTTAGCATATTTCCTAACCTCTCATCTGCTCTGACCCAGTTCCCTACCTTGGTCTAGAAGAGGTAATACAGTCTTCCGTTATGTTGCCCTTCCTCACCTTCTTCCTCTGGCTCTTTTGAAAGAGTAAAAATATATTCCAGTGAGTCATTGCTTTCCTTTCTGTCCAATAGCTCCAGGTTGGCCATGCAATGGAAGCTTCTCTACTCTTGCCCTTCACCTTCCTTAGAAACAGTCATATCGACATCCCAAATCCAAAATTTTCAATTCTGTCCTTAGATCCAGAGGTTTTCCTCACAAGGAAACTTCTACTTCAGCTGGGGCCAGATGATAGACAACTTTGGATGCAGAACCAACTGAATCCCTTACTTTTTACATTGAACTCCTTCTCTAAAGAGAAGGGGCTCCTTTCTAAGCATTCTGGTACCATTACCTGGGCCCTATCCAAGAGGATGGCCTAGTTAAAGAAAAAGGCTTGTGGGGGCCCAAAACCTGGTGCTGGAAGATGTGACATGAAGGGACTAACAGCATCAGAAATTGGAAGAGAATTCCACACATGTGATCCCAAGCATTAAGCTCCAGGGCAGTACATCTCAGGGGCCATTTCTGGAAGTGTTAATGGGTTGTTTTTTCCTCCCTTAATTTTAAAATCACTGACTTTCAAATTTTGCACTGAAAGGCTGCCTTCATTTGTTATTCAAGTCAGCCAAACCTCTGGGCAGAGGCACTGTCTGGTTTACCAGAGTGGGGGATGGAATCCCAAGAGCCATTTCTCCACCTATTCTGGAAGGATAAAAACAAAAATGACATCTGCAAGGTCCAAATGTCTTCAGCCTCTGCCCTGCTTTAACTAGGAATCATTCTGTTCCATGTGGTCAGTGTCCTCCCACAAAGCCCCTTGGAAGGTCTAAGGAGATGTTGCCATTTCAGAGGGCACTAGAAAAGGTGGTGGGAATGAGCAGGAGAGCACTTTCTCTCCACAGAACAGAGAGTAAGAATCTAAAAAGGAAGATAACCAAGAGACGTCTTCCTCATTGAGCTAACTGGCATTTGTCCATCAAGGAGATTTTACAAATCTGCCACCAAAATGCCTCCTACCTTGTACTAGCCACGCAGCTCAGTTGGTCAGGATGTGCACTGTTCATATTAGAATTCATCTAGAGCCTTCTGACAAGGGAGGACTCTCCCCAGGGCTAGGAAAGAGAGGCAGTTTGATTTTATACTGGACGTGTGTCTACAGTTTCTTTCCCACCCTTCTGCTTAAAGAGATAGAGGGAGACAGAGAAAGGTGGCGGGCGGTAGAGGGAGGGAGGTAGAGGTGGATGGATGTCAGCGGCTGTCCTCTCTTTCCTAGTCTGCCCCATACCCACATACTAAGAGGGAAGACTGAAATTTTCAGATGTTTATGCCCCATTTGTGTTACGATCCAGGGAACTCTAAACATTGTGAAATCACCAGTGCAATATTGGGTAGGGCCTCAGGCCAAACCAAGCTTAATAAGAGATTGTTTATCAATCCACATTTCCTAAATGCTCTGGGCCTTTACCTTCCAGCTTTGTATCCCTGAGAGGCTCAGCAGCACTGGAGAGCCTCCTCAGCTCTCCAGCGAACCAGACTGACAGGCACTTTCTCTTACCCAACCCCCAGAGTGGAGAGAATCATGCCACTGGTTTGGAAGCAGGAAAGAGGGGGTTCATGCCGGGTCTGGGCACCCCATTGAACACACACCCTTCCTTTCTTCACAAATCATCCTGGGGGGAGAGGTGCTCTCCAAGCCCTAATGGGCCACAAGGCCGCCTTCTGCCATCACCCAGGCCTGGCAAAATGGATATCCATCCAGCAGCTGGTGCATGAGGCAGACGGCATCTCTCCGCTCTGCCCACCATCCAGCCCTCCAGCCCAGTTCTCTCCTTTCCTTCATCACTCAGCCCATCTAGCCACGCAATCATTTTCCACCTCTCTTGCTTCCTCTGCCCACAACCCCCTGCCCCCAGTCAAAGAGAATTGAGAAATTGGCTTCTTGCACAAGAGCAGCTACTGTCTAAATGCTTTTTGATCGTCTGCAGGGAGGGGAAACTGGGCACAGCCTGGCCCCAGCCCTGGCCCCAGTGATGGAGCCAAGCTCCAGCTGTCCTGGCTGGCCAAACCTGCCCTTACTCCCCTTCATTACCCCCCAAGCCTTGGCGATTCAGAATTTTCAGAACGTACCGTCTCTGTCCTTCTCTCTTCTCGGTGATGTCAAGCCTGGTACCACCAAGAAGGAAGGAGGGAAGGCGGGAGCCTTATCTCTCCTACGCAGGCAACCTCTTCCTCCAGCTCCCACACGCCCGGCGTTATGTAAACGCACCTTCAGCCCCCACCACAGCCCCAGCGCGGCCGGGGGCCTCGGGGCCTGGCACAATTCGGTGCCAGGGGATAGGGGGACACGAGGAGGCCGAGAAGCCTCGGCCCCTGCAGAGGCCGGGGAAAGGAAGCTGCACAGCATAAAATGCGGCAGCAGAGCAAAGGTCAGACGGCGAGGAACCGCCTCGCCAAAGAGAGAGAGCAGAAATGCCCAGTCCCGGGCCAGCCCTGCGCTGACCATCGAGGGGTAGGCAGAAGGAAAGAAAACCTAGTGCATCACGGCTCCGAAGGGTAAATTAAAACCTCCGTCGAGCATAGGCCGCTGCGGCGGGCTGGGGAGATCTACGGGAGACTGGCACCGTGGGCAGAGAGCCCAGGGTGGGCGAACCGCCCAGGGCGAGGGCGCCCGCCGGACCCAAGAGGTGGCTCCTCACGGAGCCCAAAGTCGCCTGTTCCAGCGCCCGAGGTGGGTAGTGGCAGGCGGAAAGAGGCCAGGCCAGAAGCAAACTCCCGGGACACGCACGGGGCTTCTGAGTGGTAGAGTGGGAAAGCCCGGCTTGGCAATGCCCGGGGGTCGGGAACGCCGGTGCCAGGCTGTGAGCACCCTCGGCGCCTAGCTGGCCCAGCCGAGGGCGTCAGGGAGCTGCGTCGCACCACAGCGGCTCCAGGAGGCGCAGGGAGAGGGAAAAGAACATTGAGGCGCGTATAGAAATAGCGCACCATTTGCCCCAGCCCGAGGGGG